GTCAACGTTGAGATGATTTCTAACGCTGCAACGCAGCTCAAATCGTCCTTCAACCCTGGACCCGATGGAGTTCCGTCCGTGTTTTTGAAGAAACATATTGCTTGCTTGTTAACTCCACTTCACCGTCTATTCCGGATGTCTCTCTCCAGTGGTATATTTCCATCCTTCTAGAAATGTGCACACATGTTTCCTGTCCACAAAAAGGGAAGCAAACGAGCCGTGGATAACTATCGTGGAATTACATCGCTGAGTGCTGTTTCGAAACTATTCGAGCTTGTTATTATGGAACCGTTGCTCTCTCACAGCAAGCAGTATCTGAGTGCTGATCAACACGGGTTTACTGGCGGTCGCTCTAAATACAACCACCAATCTGCTATGCCTCACATCCTACATTACCGATAGTATGACTGAACGGGTACAGACGGACGTTATATATACCGATCTATCCGCGGCATTCGATAAGTTGAATCATGACATTGCGATTGCTAAACTCGACAGGCTTGGGGTGAGCGGTAATCTCTTGAGTTGGTTCCGTTCGTATCTTACTGGTCGCCAACTTATGGTTGCTATAGGAGATTGCAAATCAGCTAGCTTCTTTGCCACATCAGGTATACCGCAGGGAAGCCATCTGGGACCGTTGATTTTTCTACTCTACTTCAACGACGTGAACCTGGTTATCGAAGGACCTCGATTAGCATATGCAGACGACTTCAACTGCCACAATCTTCAACATCAGCTTAATGTCTTTGCCAGTTGGTGTACTTTAAATCGAATGGTAGTGAACCCAGCAAAGTGCTCTGCCATAACGTTCTCACGAAAAAAGCAACCGATTGTATTCAGCTATGACCTGCTTGGAACGACACTCGAACGCGTGAATCAGGTGAAAGACCTGGGTGTGGTGTTGGATTCACAGCTAACATTCAGGCAACACATTTCTTATGTCATCAATAAGTCGTCTAGGACTTTAGGATTCAACTTCAGGATAGCTAAGAATTTCACCGATGTCTACTGCTTAAAATCTCTTTACTGCTCCCTCGTACGATCGACGCTTGAGTATTGTTCTGCGGTTTGGAATCCGAATTACAACAATGGTGCCGAGAGAATCGAATCTGTTCAACGTCGCTTTCTTCGTTTTGCGCTTCGTAGACTGCCTTGGAGAGATCCGCTTCGGCTGCCCAGCTACGAGAGTCGCTGCCAACTGATAAACCTTGAACCTCTCCGGATTAGAAGGGACACCAGCAGAGCTTTGATTATCGCCAACACTCTACAGGGATGATTAGATTGTGAGGCTATCATGAGGCAAATTGACCTAAACGTGCAACCCCGACCACTCCGTAACAACCTCATGCTGAGACTGCCACTGCGTCGCACGAACTACGGGGCATATGGTGCGATTTGCGGACTACAGCGTGTGTTCAACAGAGTCGCATCTGTATTCGACTTTCACCTCACACGTGATGCGCTTTGTCGGAGATTCTCATCTGTTATCGCCGGCCGCAGAGAAAATTAGTGTATTTCCATTTATGTTTTTTTTTACATTCTGACCATGTTGCTTTGTTTTTCTTTCTGTGATTATTTGACATGTAATTTTACTATTATTATTATTATGATTAGTATTATTAACATCATTTGGGCTACAGCCAGCGTTGATGTATGGCAACAATAAAGTAAAGTAAAGTAAACATTTCAGTTTGTATGCCTGTTCGTATAATCAAAGGCACACAAAGCGCGTTAGGCCCTTCTTAAAAGTAAAGCAGGTGCTGTTCACTTGAAACGCTAATAAATGTTCTGGGTTAACTCGGATTCACTTCCGGTCTTCATCGAATATATTCCCAATATTTCAAAGGTCCTTCATTTTGTACACGAAGACAAACTACCCACTGCAGCACCACCTAGAGCCGTGAATGTCCATTAAATAACGGTGATCAACGTATTGTTATGGATACACTTCAACAGTTATTGATTGAGAGGTTACTAAGCCAACCAGTGCATGATAAGAGATGAACTAGCCTTAGGCTAAAAATCTCTCTAATAAAGGAAAAAAAAAAGAAAGCCAACTAGTGCATACAATTGTATATTGTGTTGTACGTTCAATGATACTATATAGCCAGGAAAGTTTGAATATTTCCTCGACCAGACTGGGAATCGATCCAGCTGCCAACTTCCGGTGGGCCATCTGAGGCCACTCGGAGCCGATGATCAGCTAATATATCAAAAATCACAATTTTGCTTCATTTCATATAGTTGCAGAGGATAATCTAGGCATATTGTGATCAAAAATACATAATAATCAAGATTAATGGTGTTCCGGGTAACCGGATGGAATCTTTTCGATCTAAAAGAAAGGTGTTAAATGTTGTGATTGTATTTACATCGACAAAACTAATTACTCTCACCCCAGACTGCGTGGTAAATTTATCGAATATAACGTCAAATCAGCATCGTTCCTTACAATGACGTCAGTATTTGCGTTTTCGATATTTACGAATAAGAAGGTTTTCGCTACCTCTCTCCTGTGCTCATTGCTCCTTTCCGTCACGACAACATTTAATTGAATATTATAAAGGAATGAATTTCTTGGAGTACCAACGTAAACAAGCATATAGTCCATTCTATATGCAAGAGTATTGATGGTCCTGGAGGCGAACCAGCCTAAGGCTGAAAGCCTCCTAAATAAAGCTAAATAATAATAATAATATTGATGGTCCGAGAGTGAAGATAACAATAAAAAACCAACATTTTTGGCCAGAGCGAAAGTGAAGATAGCAAAATAAGCACTTGAAATGGGATTACACGAGTGTGCGAGTTATCAACGTCAGAAAGGTCAATTAAAATAAAAACCATAAGATCGATCTACGAAAGATCGATTATTTGGTACCGGTTTAATCAGTGGATCGATTCTAGAGCCAAATATAAGATCGATCCGTCAAGATCGATCTTTCTCTCAAGATCGCCCAATCCTACCTCATTCTATGGATGCTTATGTGGGCAGCAGCTCTCCGCTTGCGGGGAGCCTTTCGTTGTGTACTGGAGAATACCACCACTAACACGCGCGGTGAAATCTGTGTTAGGGAAATCGCTTTTCGCAGGTAATCGGTGATAATATTAATTATCATAGCAACAGTTGCACATTCGTGCAATTTTCAACAGTGACATTTTGAAAAATGGTCAAGTCTTAATTTTAACAGATCCGTAGAAATATTTTCGATCAATTTTTGATAAAATTATTGAAATTGGTCCAGGGGCAGCTGAGTTATTAACGTTAAAAATCTTTCATAATTTTGTTACATGTTCTATTTTCGGTTTTCACAAAGTGTACCCCCATATAGAAATCACAGATGTCGTCCTGCGTCAAAATGATGTTTGAAGATTGCATAATTTTCTTTACAACATTTCTGTCAAGACGTGACTCTCATAAATATTACAGTCAGAGCTGGCAAATGTCATTTTCAATGAAAGATCTCACGCGATATTTACAGAGATACTTCTGTCACTATCATCGGATGAGAAAACGATGATAGGGATTTTCTTCAAAATCTCATCGAATTTTTTGTCATGACAGAGCGTGAAAGTGGTGTAGTCATCGTAATTACTAGCTCATTTATTGCTAGTAATGTTTCTAGTTCCGAGGAAATCTTGATAATATATCCACTCTACCGATAACATACAGTTGCTTACTTAAATTCATCTAAAACAGTTAGAAATGTTGATGTCAAAACCGCATAAGAATTATTCTCATAAGTGCTTGATCGTTGGAAAATGACAAGAAAGCCAACGATAGGTAGTTTCGTCTCATGATAGTGAAAGGGCCTGTTTTCTCATTGTCACATGACGGCCGTGATATTTACCAGCTCTGATTACAGTGTCGAGCATTCTGAATAAAAACATTCTCATGTTTCCTCTCATACTCAATTATCGAATAAAAGCTGTCATCCATCTTATAATCTAAAGTTGTTTCAGTTATACAACGATTGCTAAGCTAAAACCAAATTTTCAGCATTCTGCTATTTGGCATATTTTCTAAATCGATTTATCGTTCCAAATAAATGAAATATCTCATCAATCTCAATGAAATCCTCCTCCATCACACAATTCTGTCAGTACCTATTCAAATATGTTCCAATAATAATTGCGTGAAGTCATCATGTTTCAAACCAATTCACCACCGCATCGCAATCGACAACTCCCGTCGTCATCCTCATTCCCGCCGCAGGCAAAAAAAAGTATATAATCATCACACAACGCGCTGTATATACTCGAAAACCCATTGTTATTATTTTCAACTACTCCTGTTATTACAGTTATTATCGGTTGTAATTATTTTAATTTACCCCACGAAAACCTATTAGCAAATAATTAAATTCTTCCCCGCAGTAACCATTAATCAGCGCAAGATTTATGAACTTCAAAGAATTACCCTCGGCCCACCGCCTCCCCCCACGGTTCCCCAATTTGTTGCTGAGCTTTTCTATTAAGTTGAGCGAATGTAAAAATCCGAATCCATGCTGGCTTTAAAATTGGTGCAACCTACTTAAAAGCCGACAAGTCCGGGGTAGTTTGGAACAATGCCACAAATTTGTTCATTCTGTTGTGACTTCGGATAGCAATTAAGCACGTCCCTCAAGGCAGCAGCCAGTCCCCCTCCCAATGGAGCAGATAATAATGACCCCCGAAAAATCGGATTGGACCTCGTAATTCGTAATTTATGATGCAGCTTAATGATTTCATTGTTTCAACAAGCCCAGTGGGTGAAACATTAAAAAAAAAAATTACAATGCGTCCGAACTCTTTGTTCATTTGCGTCCAGTCCAATCCATCGAAACCACACGTCAGTCAGTGTAGGATATCTGACTGAATAATAATAAAAAAAGTTGTGACATAAAAAATCCTCACATTGAAACAAATTAAAACCAAAAAATCGCAACCGCACCAAACTCCAGCCGTCTCTTTCCCTCTCTTTCTCTCTTCTCTCTCTCTATCCCACTTTTACATCGTTGCAGTGCGAGCGATGGGCATGGACGATAATTATCATCGCTTGCTAGACCAGAACATGGCACTGATCGAGACCCCGCTGGTGGCGCCTCCCCATGCCTACTTTCCGCAGCACTTCAAGACGGCCCTCTATCCGTACAACATCTCCGGCTACCATCGGCAGCACCAGCACGGACATCACGGTGGCCACTTTGGCATGCCTCACGGCAACGGCAACGGCAATGGGCATGTCCAGTATGGCGGCGAAAATGAGTACCACCTGGCCGGTTCGGTTCCCCCTGCGGTGGGCAACATCCTGATCAGTATGGACGGAGATGATGATGGGGCCGACGCGGCCATCGAAAACGGAGGATACTACGACAACGCGGTGGAAAGACAAAGTAGGTACCACCCCAACCCACCAAAAACAAACAAACAAAAACTCTGTACCTTGTCGCTCGGTTCTGTAACTAAGAAATTGTGCACCCTCTTCCTCTTTCTCAAATTCATTTGTACAATCCGCCTAAAGATCTTTGGTAGAAGCTCTCGATCAAAAGCCAATTTCTTGGAAATTTAAAGATAATCACATACATCCGGACAAGATTCGGGAACTGCTTCCCCGTATCTTCCTTATTTTCCAAATTCCCCTAATAACAACAAACTTACAAACCCGTTTGACCGTGTGAACAATCTCAACCGGCACGTTTCGCTTCCAGGTCCCTCGTGTTTCGTGTAAGTACTTACTTGTGCGTGTGTATGCTCTCAGATTGATCTCTCTTTGTAGGGTCCCACAGTAATATCCTTAACTAAGCCTTCCCATTGTGTTTTGTAGTTTGTAGCAAAGGCCTAAATTCTGATTTTTGTTTTCACTTAAGTTTGATGTACACACACACACACACTCACTCCTCTGTTCAGTTTTCGATGAGTGCGCCTTTGGTTTTAAAGTATGGAAAACTTAACCCACCTGCCCAGCATTCATCCACCCACACCACCGACAAACAATCACACTCACACATACATTCACCCGCCACCAAGTAGGAACGACAGCTTCATCCGTATATTTCTCATATCATATCACAGTATCGAAGCGCATCACCTTTCAACACTGCAGCACATTGATCATAGTTCTCTCATCATTCATCATACATTATATCACACCAGCTGAAATGCGAAGCTTGCAAAGCTGATTTGCGCTAGTTGCTGAAACAATCCGAACAATGTATTAAGGTAATTTGGCAATCAGCGATCAGTGCTATGCGATTCCTCCTTTAGCTTGTGCAGTGATAATATTGGTCTTGGGTTGAAAACAGGTTTGCTTCTACTCACTTGCTATAAAATAAAACATGTTTTTCGGAATTATGAAATCAATAGATGTAATAATGATTAACTTGCAAGACGGGATTATAATGTATGTGTTTGACACATAAAATCTGTCAATATTGCTTTCAGAGCGTCACAATCAGCTATTGTATGATTCGTGAGTGCTCACTCTGAGTGAACGCTCGTGAATCATAAAACCGGTGTCAACCGGAGTCAATTACATTTGGTACAACCTCTTTGTCTAACTTACAAAGTTCTTTTTATCATTATAACATCTAATGATTTTATAATTCCTAGAATCTTTTTTTCTAGTATTTGAGTGGTTAAAACCCTACATGTTGCAAATTGATGAATTGATAAACCAGAACATTTAATGCTTAAATCCGAAAATGTTTTTTTTTTAAATATCCAGGTTTGTTTACAACATTTATTTGGCTGTATTTACCGACGATATTTACTCGATTATCTTATTCATGTCAAAGCTGATCTAACCTACACTGAAAAAAAAACTACAATGGACATCCCTATGGGATTGTACGCAATGGCGACGTATTTAGGACTACGTGGTTTTATATAATAAATGTTATTTGTTAACTGCAGCAGGAGCTTGTGTTTTGTGTAGTAATAGGAATTTGAGCGGGATTCTCTCTGTTTACACTCTTTAGTATGACTGTGATTGCCCTGAAATGAACCTTCTGATATGAATTTTAGTTCGTACATGTTCAGAACTCTTTTGGAAAATATTGGTGGCCCTGAAAAGAGCCGATGGTAGTACAGGCTTCATGCCTTTGGAAGATGATGATGACGTATAGGCAGCTGGATCAGCAAAACGGACCGGACAATCCCATATTCTACGGTTCAATGATTGGGCACTTAAACTGGTGTCTGCGACAGGTTGGAAGGCCGCAGAACATCAGTGTTCACAGAGCTAAAGCTCCTCCACTTTTCAGTTTTTCTCATTAAAATCCTTCTCAGAGATCTGAGGAGAAGGCTTCTCTCAACAAGTTGGCCAATCTTAGCCTTTAGTAGAAAGTCGCTTAACACTTTTTCGGCGAATTTATAATCCTGCTTCACGTCATGGTTCTTTTCTATGCCTTTTTTATGCGTTTATTTTTCCAGGCTCATTTGCCGTAGCTTTGCGGAGCCGATATTCATCGTTGTGTGCTCTTGATCTCGAACTAAGCGACATACTGGAGAAAAAGACAAACATGGGGGTACACCGATAAAGACCTAGCAACTTTATAGAACACAAGATGACACTAACTACTAAATCCTCAGATCTATTTGTTTTAAAAACACATAAATTAAATTGCAATAGTCGAGATCTTGGCTCGCCAAGATGTCTCTAACGGGCCGCATGGGTTGTTTTCCTCGGGCCCTGAGGGATGCGGATAACTCGGATCTAGCAACACAATGGAGGGTGCATGACCAAAGCACGTGGTCGACATCGTGATAGCCACTACCACAAGCGCACAAATGGCTGCCTGCGAGCCCGATTCGGAAGAAATGCGAGTCTAACGAGTAGTGATTAGACATGAGCCTTGACATGACACGTATAAAGTCACGGCTCATGTCCAATCCTTTGAACCATGGCTTGTTCGATACCTGTGGGAGAATAGAATGTAACCATCTTCCCAGATCACTCTCATTCCATTTTTGTTGCCAGTTGGTGAGAACGTGCTGACGGGTAGTTGAAAAAAAATCCGCAAAGGCGATTTGTCGATCAAAAACATTGCCTTCCATAGCGCCCACCTTAGCTAGCGAGTCCGCTTTCTCATTACCCGGAATTGAGCAATGAGATGGGACCCAAACTAAGGTGATAGTATAGGAGCAGTTAGATAAAGTACTCAATTTAGCTCGGATTTCGGCCAGGAAATACGAGGAGTGCTTCATCGGCCTGATTGATCGAATAGCCTCCAACGAGCTAAGGCTATCTGTAAAAATAAAATAGTGATCAGATGGTAGTGAGGCAATTTGCTCTACTGCGTAAAATATGGCTGCTAGTTCCGCAATGTATACGGAACAGGGTTTTTGCAGTTGATATGAGGTGCTATGAAATTCGTTGAATACTCCAAATCCAGTGGAAGCGTTTATAGTTGACCCATCTGTGAAAAAACTCTTATTGTTACTAACATGGTGGTACTTGTTTGCAAAAATTAAGGGAACAACCATCGACCGATGGTGATCTGATATTCCACGGATTTCTTGCAACATGGTAAGATCAAAATTTACAGAGGAACTATAAAAGTCTTGGAGACAAACACGAGAGGAATTGAATGAAGAAGGGCCAATCTCCAGCGTCATGTACTCGTAATAGAGACTCATGAATCTTGTTTGAGGATTTCTGTCGAGCAGCTTCTCAAAGTTTTCTATTACCAATGGGTTCATTACTTCACAACGGATAAGAAACCGGAAGGACAGTTCCGCAAAACGATCTGTCACTGGGAGAACACCCGCGAGTACTTCGAGGCTCATCGTATACGTTGAGTGCATACGGCCAAGCGCGATTCGGAGGCAATGGTATTGAACCCGTTGCAGCTTCAGGATGTGTGTTTTTGCCGCGGATTGAAAGCAGAAGCTACCGTACTCTAGGACCGACAAGATGGTTGTTCGATACAACCTGATCAGATCTTCCGGGTGTGCTTCCCACCTGCTGGTTGAGGGTCGTTCGGTTGAACAGTAATGGCTGATTGCGTAGCAACTGGAATTTTGATGTGTTCCAGTCGGGCTTGCTGTGGCAGAACTCGGTACCGAATGAGACGGATCCCCACCAGGGGCAGGTGGAGGCGTTCCACCTACCTGGGGCAGGGGCGTCCCAACGGTGGTAAAAAGGTTGGTCGCTGTGCTTGAGCTAGATACTGTGCTGGGGTGTGATCTGTTGGTTTGGGACTTGAATCCCTCGTTGTCCTTCGGGGAATGGGAACAACTGCCCTTATCCGTCCCGATACTGAGCTGTGCCTTGCATCCCGCGTTGTCCGAAGGGGAATGGGGGACGAGGCCACCCTTGTCCGTCCCTCGTCCAGGTTCGCCGCAGCGCCGGGGGGTTGTCGCCGGTTCCGGTGTGGGGAAAACGTCCGCACCGACGGGGTCCCGGCTACTGTGGGCTAGTGCTGGGTTCTTCGCGTTAAGCATCTTCGTCCGAGGGTTCCAGAGGTTACCCGACAGTTCCGGTTGGGGTATATCTTCCGCACTGCCGGTGCCCTGAGTACCCAAGGCACAAGTGTCTTCATTCGGTTGGCTCGGACGCCGAGGGGGTTCCGAAGATTCCGGTTGGGGTGTAACTTCCGGTTCGACGGTGCCCTGGCTATTAGAGCAGTGTTTTTTTGTAAACAAAGGAAGCATTATTTTTAAATATTTTTCTTGATTATTTTGGTTTTTTTGAGTTACACTTTTTTAAGTTATCAAATTTTGGGTATTCGCTCCATGCTCCTATATGACTAAACCATCATGTCTTCATTGATTTATAGCGCCCTTTTTATTATAACAATATTATCTAATAGGTTTGGCCCGAAGGGTTTCAGAATGTTACAGAAATTTACAATAACAGAAATTCCAAAAGTTCAAGGTGGTTAATTTTCCCGGAATTTCCGATTTTCTCGGACATCATGTACTTTGAAAATTAATAACTTATGAATGACGCGTCGTTTTACAAATATTGTGTAGTTTTATCATAAGGATATTTTCTCAGCAATCCATAAAAAGTATAACCTAAAAATGTTTAGCATGAGACTAAACTCGGAAAATGGTTTTAACCGCTTTCCTGTTGGTTTCCTCCACTGCGAAAATGTCTTCTTCTTCTTCTTCTTCTTCGCATTTTAAGCTTATTGCATATCGCATATTAGCTTATTGCGTGCTCTCAACTTAGTGTTCTAGATACACTTCCACAGTTATTAATTGAAAGCTTTCGATGCCTGTACCATTTTTGCATTGGTATAATTGTGTGGCAAGTCCAATCATACTTCTATGCCCAGGGAAGTCGAGAAATTTTCCAACCCGAAAAATTCCTAGACCGGACCGGGAATCGAACCCAGCTGCCTCCAGCATGGTCTTGCTTTGTAGTTGCGCCTGTACCGACTGAGCT